GTTTTTGCCGGTAATGTCTTCTTTCACATAACACTCCCGAACCAAATTATTGATGGCAGAAAAAGCTAGTAGCTGTAAATGGGGGGCCAACTATAGTAAGGAACAGAGTTAGAAGTGATTGATGAAAGTGGTTCAGACAGGAAAGTTCAAGATAGCCGCTGCAGCTTCAAAGGTTTATATTGTGGGGATGCAGGTTTACAGGGAATTTAAATTATCAGTTTCAACACAGGAGAGGACTTACAACAAGTGTGGGGAAAAAGGAAAGGCTGGAGTTCAACTTTAAGTATATTACACACTTAAACAAGTTATAAGTGCATAGAAGTTTATTCTTTGTGCTGGCATGGAGGGGGCATAGAATGTGACATATTAATAACAGACAGCTAGCTGGATCTGTAAAGCTGAATGTCTCCTGTTCTACTAGCTCTCTGGCAGGTTATACCAGTCCTAAGATTATCTTACACACCTCATCATGTAATGTCATGATCATGACAATGTCAGAACATTGTATAGACTTATATACTAAGGCAATACATAGTGCAATGATGCAACCCAGAGCAGCCAATCAGAAATAATTTAATAATACATTTAACAAACTGAAATTTAATTGTTTGCTGTGGATAATTGTAATTGCTTTTGCACTACTTTACTAAATAGGATATACGGGGTATGCTGCCCAGCTGGGATGCAAGTAATTCTGCCAATGGCTTCCTAACAATTGTCGGAGCACATATGTGAAGTAGTTATTTAACCTAATATTTTACTGATCTGTGACTGTGACTAAGCTCTCTTTATCTTCTTTCATCCTCAGGTGACATATTACTAAACGTCAATGGCATAGATCTAACTGGAGTCAGCCGTAGTGAAGCTGTGTCGTTGTTAAAAAATCCTTCTTCCTCATGTGTGGTTCTGAGAGCCTTGGAAACAAAAGAATACGAGCCAGGGGAAGACCTAAGCAACAACTCGTTGTCAATGGACACGGTCCAGAATAGCTTTGAGAGCAGAGAATGGTCACCAATCTGGGTCATGTGGCTAAAGCTGCCTCGGTATGTTAAGACATTGCATCCCTTCTCCTGCAGGAGAGTAGGAGGATAGATTTATGTTGCTTGGGCTGTTCCCTCTATTGGATTTATTATTCTCTTTGGTGATGTGTCCTAATTAAAGCCAGATTTAGCTTTAGGACTAGAGTATGTTTTCTTTTTCTAATTGGATGTGTACAGGGCCTCAGCGAAGACCCTGCACAGGAAACACCAGGGCTATCCATAGAAAGATCTGATTTATAAGACATTGATTGCATCGCCTTACCATTGTTCTTAGTTATCAATTCTCTTGCCTGCAGTAAATGCTGTCTACGAAATTGTTTTTTGTAGACCTAATATGATGATAATCATTGCATATATGGACAGCCCCAGACCTTTCCATCCATTCTTTATCAGCCATTGATCCAGCAGGATAAAAAATCAGATTGCTCCGTAAATAGATTGGCACTCCTGTGATGTCATCTATAATGATTTCTTGTGTCCTCTAAAAGAGGGTATATGTGTTCAAATTCAGGAAGCCCGAGACCCAGCCTGTGCTGAGGTGGGTGACTTGATGATTGCTCCTGCAGCTAAATTTAGGTTGATAGCTGTCCTTGCAATAACAATATTGTGCAGTCACATCAAGTGCTACTGGTACATAAACTATAAACAATAAATAAATAAATTATAAATACATTTTGTATGTACTAAAATTATGCAGTTGAACTGTACAGCATTCACTACCTTGCATTCTCTCTTTTCTTCCTGGCTTATTTATTTTATTTGTGGATTTTATGTACCATGTTTGCAACTCTCACTGCTGACATGAAGTTCAGCTTCGCCTCTGTGGTGAGAGGTCATTACTCCAGGGATTGTCATTTAGGATAACTTTGAATGAACCCAGGGGTCAGTGCCACTGATGTGTAGATTTATTATTGTATGAAGAGCTGCTAAAGCAATGAGTGGACAAAGGGTAACCTGTGGGATTAATAGTCAGGATTGGATTCTTAGAATACGAGTCACAGGGCAACAGGGCCTTTTGCATCCAGCTGCAACATCACTTACTGAGTGCTAAAAAAAAGGGATATCAAGCAATATATTGCTTAATCATCAAAGGTAAATGTTTTCACCATTATTAAGAGATATAAATACATTAAAAAATAATAAATTAAATCCTCCTACTGCAGTTACTGTTAAAACTCAGGATCATCACTATAGTTAGTATATAACATGTTGTTTTGTACTGTTCATTTTAAGCTGGTATTGGAATGCATTTAAGGTAAAAAAAAATGTGTGTGTATGTATATGCATGTGAAACGAAAACAATTTGTGGGAGAATAATGCATTATATAAGGGTAAGAAGTGGCCCAAAGCAAAACATTTTTTTACCCATGATGTTTTACCTGTTGATTTTTAGTGTCTGGGAGCTTAACACATTTGCTCTTTACCCTACTAATGGACCCCTGCTTGAGACTCATTTGCAGTGGCATAGGAACAGGAGTGTATCTGCCGTGAGGCAAACAAGGCGTTTGCATCGGGTGGCTCTTTCCAGGGGGGCGGCAAAAATGCCAAAACAGTCAGGCAAGCCGGGCTGCGCAGAGTTTGTCAGCTTCGGCTGCCTAACCTAGCAGGACAAGGTGGCAGAGGTGGAGGCGAGGAGAGGAAGAGGAGCAGCAGTAGCAGGAGTGGGCAGGTCCGGATCCCCATCAGGGGGAGGGTCTGGATCCTCATCAGGCGGCGGAGGGAGCCGATCCTTAATCGCAAGTTGGGCACGGAGGAGGACCTGGAAGTGCCAGAACGGCGGTGAATGAGGCTGGGCGGTCCGGCAGTGAAGGAGGCCAGGTCCAGCAGCGGGGTGGCAGATGCAGGTAAGTGGATCACACAGATGGGAAAGGGACCCTGCAGAACCCAGCATAGATTCTGCACACCCCACCTGAAAGTCTCAGGTGGGCTCTGTAGGATTTGTGGTGGGGTCTATGGTGGGCTTTGCATGGTCTCAGGGGGGCTGTGCAGGATCTGTGGTGGAGTCTATGGTGGGCTTCGCAGGGTCTCAGGGGGACTCCGGAGGATCTGTAGTGGGCTCTGCAGGGTCTATGGTGAGCTCTGCAGGATCTATGGTGGGCTACACAGGGTCTCAGGGGGGCTTTGCAGGATCTGGGGTGGGCTCTTCCAGGATCTATGATGGACTCTGCAGGGTCTCAGGGGGGCTTTGCAGGATCTGTGGTGGGCTCTTCCGGGATCTATGATAGGCTCTGCGGGGTCTCAGGGGGGCTTTGCAGGATCTATGGTGGGCTCTGCGGGGTCTAAGGTGGGCCCTGCAGGGCCTATGGTGGGCTCTGCAGGGTCTCAGGGGGGCTGTGCAGGATCTGTGGTGGGCTCTGCAGCTTTCCTGCTATGCTAATAATGGAACATGTCAAAAGCTGAATACAATGTGTGCACTGTATCCAGCAACTGACAGGTTACCCAAAAAGTCAAAAACAGGAAGGGGTGGGGCAAATTTAGTGGTGTCTTTCGTCTTGACTAGGGCAGCCCCAAACCAGAATACATCACTGAAAGTAAACTGTGTTTTCAGCAGAAGAAGCTATGACCGGTTCCCTTTTCCAGAGAGGGCCCAGAATAGTGCCACCTTTACTGTATGTGGAGTTACTAACTAGAGGACACAAGGGGAGATGCAAGCACAGGGATGCTTCTTCATTTAGTCACTCCACCTTGATAAAGGGACCTTCACAATCCTGAAATGTTGCCATTTTCTTTGTGGTGCCTATGCTCATCTAATAAACATATTCCCTTGCAAAAAGAAGGTTTACTCGTGAAGGATCCATTGTTGCATTTGGACATTAGAATATTTTAGATTAGGTCAAATACCCAAGCACAAGGAGCACATTGAGAAGTGTTCCTTTCATGTGCATATCTGCTTTGTACCCTTTGCTTTGCTTGCTGGGTAGTAAGGTAGTGAAGGGGCCAATACTTAGCAAGGGGGCCCTATGAGAATTTTGCATTAATAGTATCAGTATTTGTGGCTTTGTGACATTGGCAATAACTTACTTTCCACACACCCATGTAATCTCATGTTTTAGCCACCATCTCAGAAATGAACCAGACATTTGTGTTTTTAGATTTCCCCCCTGGGCACCTCTAAGCAAGATGCTGGGAGAAACCATTGAATTGATCTGATGCACATTTTTTACAATTTACTTTTCAACTAGATGCAACACCTAACACTCACATGTGTTGGCACATTTCGATTAATAAACTTTTTTTTATCCCCGTTGTCTTGGAAGCTCCCATGGGCTTTAGGAGCACAGATCAAGCAACTTTTATTGAGACTTGTGTGCAGAGTGCCATATAAAGGGATGTTGTAGGTCTCATTTGAACAATCAATTGTGGAATGCAGCTAGAGGGAAATCTACACCAATGCGGTTGGTAAATATAAGAAACAGCACCTCTGACAACCCATTCCTCAAAGTTTACATATAGGGTTCAATATGATTAAAGCTTATTTTGTCATAATACTGTAAATTCTCATTAAACGAAACTTCAATTACTAGAAAGAGATTTTATTCTAACCAGCATCCAGCATAGAAAGAGTTGTACAATAATTGCCTGACTGAGCCCAGATGTTCAGCACAAATTCCAGTAAAGAACTTGCTGTGTTCTTAGAATCTTTCGTTTTTTTGCACTGTGTATATATTCTTTTTTCATTCAGGAAGCAGCTGTGTGTTTGTAAATCAGATCCCACTCCAGTGAATTGTAAAAGTAAGCAATGTGTGTGCATGGAGAGACTGTGCTGCAAACTAAGCAGTTTAAAGCGTTTTTCATGACTGGTCTAAGAAAAAATTCATCAACTTATCACTTTCTTCTAACTATGAGGAGCTGCTGATCAAAGGCATCACATTCCCAATGATCTCTGCAGCTCTTTTATGTTTTTTTGTTTTTTGCACAAAAGTGTATTTAAAAGTATTGTAAATAGACAACAACAAATAAATAATCTGCACAAGAAATGCACTCTATGTGGCAGCATGGACCTAATGGTACTGCTGCATTCTCTGTACAATTTTTAGAGGGACATAATTTTGAAAAAGATGCAGTATGGAGTTACGTGTGAAGTTTAGGGGTCTATTCACAAAAGGGTGAAGAGTTTGGAGAATGCAGGAGAAGAGAACAATCTAGGCCAAAATAGCTGATTTGGAAAAAATTTCCAATTCAGCTCACTTTCCAGTTCAGCTATGTTGTCCTAGATTGTTCACTTCTCCTGCCTTCTCCAAACTCTTCACCCTTTTGTGAATAGACCCCTTAGGTTTTTTTTTAGTTTTGCATAGGGTGCTAAATGGTTGAAACTGCTGTCAGGTTTGAAAATCATTGTTACTGAGACAATTAGAAGATGATAAATATTCAAACAGTTTACAAGTGTCAAGAACAAGAACAAGAGGTGAGAATAAATCTCCCAATAGGGACACATGTTCTTGTGACTATTGACGTAAGCTGGCCATATACTATTAGATGACTCTATTCCACCATCCATGCTAAACAGTGTAGATGGATGAATCTTACCTATTGTATTCTGACAGCCAATCATTTACAGTTACTATACGGCCATTTTTTTCCACCCGACTACTTTGGTTTTTCGACCAAATTTTATGAGTGCTGTCAGCAAGGCAACGCGATTCAGAGGAACGGCCCAAACTTTGAGCTGTGCATGGCGAGCTTTAGAGGGCAACTCCCCTCACTTTGTAGAGATTCCTTTTTACTTATTGTTGCTTCTTCGGGACAGAAAGTGAAAAGGAAATTTCCCCAATAGGGCATGGACAGCAAAAATAAATCGACAACTGCCTTAGAAGCCGGGAGTGTTTTTACACTTCTTCAGCAGACTGTGGAATATATTCTGTAAAGACGTCCGATCACTTCCACACACATTGGAAGGTGCTGCTCCTCCCCCCTTGACTACCCCCACCATGTATCCCAGGCTGACCTCCCCCCCAGTGAATGAACTCAGAAGTGATGAGCATTTCATCAGGTCCAGTTTCAAC